CTGGCGGTGCTCAGGGGACCATATGGGATGCTGGGAATCGAACCCAAGCCAGCTGCGTGAAAGGTAAATGCCCTACCCACTGTGCTATCGCTCCAGCTCTAGACCTCATCTTCTTCTGTCAGAACCATCATGACAAACAATCTAGAGTGACACTTTGTGAACTGTCCCGGCTCCCTCCTCTTCTCTCCTCTTTCTGTGTTCTCCATCAAGGAGCTGAATACTGTGTGAACACTGAGTCTCTGCTTGTCCCATTGTGGCTTCACACCAGTGCTCAGGCTGTCCCTGCCTTGAAATCACTGCCCCTTAGTGCTCTGCTTATTCATCTTCTAGCAGCCTCAGGAGATCCAACATAAAGGTGAGGAGGGAAGCTTTGCAAACAGCTTTGACTTTGACCGGAATCAATACCTCTGTCCACTACTAATGTGGAGAAAGGGACTGATTTCTCTCTCCATAACATTAGTGTCCGTGATTCTATGTGAGAAGTCACCATCTTGAATTTTATTCTTTTTCATCTTGAATATTTAGTATATTTTATATTGTCTCTCTGCTTCACAAAATCTAGACTGCTTCAAACAGGGACAGGGCCTGCTCTTCCTTCCTTCATCCCTTCCTGCTTTTCCTCTCTCCCCCATTCTCCTTCCTCCTTATTTTTTCTTTCTCCCTTCCTTTCCTTTCTCTTTTTTTTCTTTTCTTCTAAACCCCAAACTGACATATATAAGACATGATTAATATGTGAAAAATGTGTATGCTACAGTCTAAACAGTATAAAAATTTTAGTCTTATAAAGGAGATAAGATTTACAGACATAAGAGTAAAGGAAATCAAGACTGGATAATTATTGAATTCAACAAATATTTACTCATTATCAAGGAATAAGGAATTGTGTTCCACAACTACTGGAATAAAAGACATACCTTGAAGATTTCCACAATCAACACTGCACATGGTCTTTATATTGATATGATTCTTCCACTAGCTTAGACATTGCTTCACATGTTCCTCATCCCACCGAGAGAAAGAGCATGGTTTTCCTTTTATCACTTTATTACTGAATCACTATCATCCCGCTGTTCATCGATTTGCTCGAGCGGGCTCCAGTAACGTCTCCGTTCGTCCTAGCCCTGAGATTTTAGCAGCCTTTCCTTACTCGTCCTTCCCAACGGTGCAGTATTAGAGGTTCTTTCAGGGTCAGGGGAGTGAGACCCATTCTTGCTATTGTTTTTGGCATATCGAATATGCCATGGGGAGCTTGCCAGGCTCTGCCATGCAGGCAGTATACTCTTGGTAGTTTGCTGGGCTCTTCGAGAGGGACGGAGAATGTATATGAGAATACAAGCAAGTATGTTAAAACCAAACACGTGTACTGCTTTAGGCACATCACTGGGCTAGACTTCTGGGAGCTTTGTTTTATAGTCTCTGGATCTTGGCTGTTGATGATGGGATTACAAGGCGCCAGGGGCTGTTAGTGAGTGTTACTACCAAGCTACTAGAAAATGGGGGATCTGGGTGGAGGAGGCCCAGTTCTGGTGCAAGCAGGCTTGGAGATCTTGGCCCCGGGTCCTGCATACCCAGGTTCCTCTGCAGGTTCCTCCATGTGTATGGAGAGTGGCCTTGAGCATGGCTGTGGCTGGGTTCTGGAGGTTTTCAGCTGCCGGAGTTCTGCTTGGGGTGGGGAGGGAAACTCAAAATCAAACGCCCCCCCCCCCCAGGGGCCCCAGTGAAGACAGACTGGCGTGGGGGCAGGAGATTTGAATTTGAACAGTGGATATGAATGCCCAGGAATTCTGATTCCAAGACCAGAATCTTTCTTCTCACTACATCAGCTCTTCTCAAAAATTTCCACTTATGTAGATGCCCATCAAGAGACTAAACTCACATGCATCAGGGCTGGGAAATTTAAGTGAAAAAAATCTATGAGTGATCTTAAAAAGCAAGTCTTACCCTAATGTTATCTATGACTGGGCCACTGAAATCGAGAAATGAGCCTCATGGCGAGAGAGGAGGGATGTGGTTTCCTAAGCAGAGAGCTGCACAGGAACAAAGGAGCAGGCGGTATCTTTTCTCAGGGTATCCAAGCCTGGCTTAAACGCCACCAAAGACTTTGGTTTCACATCACCAGATTTCTTTCATCATTATATCACAGGCTGGAGCAATAGCACAGAGGATAGGGCATTTGCCTTGCATGCGACCGACCTGGGTTCGATTCCTCCAAACCTCTCGGAGAGCCCGGCAAGCTACCGAAGTATCCCACCCACAAGGCAGGGCCTGACAAGCCTCCCGTGGCGTGTTCGATATGCCAAACACAGTAATAAGTCTCACAATGGAGACGTTACTGGTGCCCGCTCGAGCAAATTGATGAACAGCGGGAGGACAGGGCTACAGACCATGCATTTCATCCACAGTCCTCTCTGGAGACTGTAACCAGATACATCCTCCATCCTCAGGCCTTCCTCTGCCAGCCAGGCCTGGTGGGCCTGCTCTTGCCTCCACCTCTGTCCCGGCTGCAACGGCACTTGGCACTACCCTCTGTGCAGCACGGCCACTAGAGGGCAGCCCCGGGCTGCGGCTCTGCTGAGACCCCTAGTGGCTACTTGCGGGTGGCGTGACACTCGACTGGAACCTCTTAGAAGCTCAGAAGTTGCACTCGGAAACTCAGCCTATGTGACACCCGGCAGCGACCGAAACCATGCAATAAAAAAGACAAGCCTCGGTTCTCAGGCCTTCAGCAGCCAGTTCCCTGGTCTCCTGGGGGGAAATCTCGCAATCCCATGCCTGGGAAAGCAAAAAAAAAAAAAAAATCAGAATCTGGGGGTGGTTCTTGACAACTTTCCCCAGTGCCTTTTGAGTTCCTCGTCTTCCCAAGACATTTGGAGCTTCTAGAATGCCCCACGGGTGGCCCTGACTTTTCCATTGACCCGCGGGTGTCAGAGGGATTTGAAGCATCTGAAAGACTTTTAAAACCCGGCTCTCTCCTGTCGCGAGCAGGGTGCTCCCAGAATGGCCGGGCATCCTCCCTAAGCTTCTGTTTCAGGTGTGGGCAAGAATATAATCGTCTCTGTGAAGTGCCCGTACGTGGCACTTCATGAAGGAGCAAGACTGTCCTCTGCACAGCTCGCCCATCTGTTTGGTAATACCAAGCAAGGGGCCTCTTGCCTTGACATCCATCAACATAGGTTCAACATAGAAAAAAACGGACTCATCACTTTGCGTTTTCCTAAATAGAAACTAGTAGCGACTCTGGGTTTATGGAAAAGGGGCGCTGGCCCGTGCAATAATGCAACGGGAGGCAAAAAAACAAAAAGGAATAGGCCTGGGCCGCTCCTGGAGGGGTCGTGTTCTGGTGTGGTTTGGTTCGGTGTTGGGGCGACAGCAGCACCGGGCACTCCTGGTGAGGTGTCCTGGCGATCGAACCCCGGTCTGTCGCTTGCACGGCCTGCACTGTCTGTCCCCTCTGTCCTGTTACCTCTCCTGCCCAGGCAGGTGTGTCGCTTCCCTTCCCCAGGTAGGAGCATTCCGGGAGAATCCGGGTGCGGTGTCTGCGGCCCAGGCCCCAGGGCACTGCAGCGCAAAAGCAAGAGGGCTCGCAGCCCAGGCCAGAAATGCAGTTTTCCGGGCCCCGGGGCCCCGAGCCAATCCACGCCCCCACCCCCCAAGTCGGAAAGGTCGCAAGGCCTGTCCGCGAGGCCCAAAGTGCAGGCACAACTGGGCGGTCGTCGGGGGTGGCCCGAGGTCGGGAACAGGGACGACTCGGCCCTTCCAAAGGGGCCGAGTCTTCCAAGCCCCCGAGCTCCGAAGGGCCACGGGCAGGCCCGGGAGCAAGGTCAGCGCGAGCCGAGCAGCTGTTGCATCTGGTGCCAGAGACCTTGGCCGCGGCGGCTCCGCCCGGGCCCTCGGGCCTCTGCCGCCCAGCCCCACCGAGGGACGCGGGCTGCGGCCCTTAAAGGGGCCCCGACTGGCAGGCGGCCCGGGGCCCAGCGGTCACGGGCGGCGCTGGGGGCGGCCGGGGCCAAGCCGGGGTCCGCGTGGCCCGCAGGCGCGGCCGGCGCCGGGGAGTGCGAGTCGGGCGCGGAGCGGCGAGCGCCCCCGTCGGCGGAGCGGGGCGGGGGCCGGGGGTGCCGGGGACCCCGCCACGCCGCGAGCCGAGCTGGAGACGCCCCTGATTGGAGCCGCGCGAGGGGCCGCGGCGGCGGCGATTGGGTGGGCCGAGTGGGGCCAGATGCCCGAGCCGGGGCCACCGCGCTCCGCGCCAGCCGCTCACCGACGGGCCGGGGGGTCCCCCTAAAATCAGCGCGTTCCCCCTCGGCATCTGGGTTTGTTTTTTTTTGGGGGGGTGGGGGGGGGAGGCCTGCTGCCTCAGTTTCCCTCGGGAGAAAGCCCTCCTCCCGGTTTCGCCCGGGCTGCTCGCCGGCTCCCCGGCCCCGCGCGCGCGCGCGCGCTCCCCGCGTCCCGGGCGCACGCCCCCTCCCCCGGCCGGGCGCTAGGTGTCGGCCGGCGCGCGGGCCGCAGTGCGGCTGCGCGCTCGCTCCCCGCCTCGTTCGCTCGGGCGCTCGCTCGCTCGGGCGCGGGGCCGGCGGCGGCGGCGGCGGCGGCGGCGGCGGCGGCGGCGGCGTGGGGAGTGGCGCCGAGCGGCCGCGCTGCAGCAGCGCCGCAGCCCGCGGGCCCGAGAGCCAGGCCGAGCCCCCCGCGCCGCCGCGCCGCCACCCCCGGCCGCCCGCGCCGCCGCCGCCGCCGCGGGCCTCGGCCCCGGCCGCTGACGGAGCGGGCGGCGCGGGGCGGAGGGCGCCGCCATGCCCGGGCCGCGCTGAGGCGCCCGCGCCGCGCCGCCTCCCGGGGATGCCCGTCGCGCGGCCGCGCAGGCGACGCACTCGAGCCCCGGGCTGAGGCAGGCCCGGAGCGCCCGGCGCGCCCCCACCCCCCCGCCCTCCCGTCCCCGCGTCCCTCCTCCTCCTCCTCCTCCTCCTGCTCCTGCTCCTGCTCCTCCTGCTCCTCCGCGGGCCGCGATGGCCGAGGAACAACAGCAGCCGCCGCCCGACGCCCCCCCGCAGCCGCCCCCCGCCGCGGGGGTGGCCCTGCCCGCGCTGGTGCCCGGGCTGCCCGGGAGCGAGGCCAGCGCGCTGCAGCACAAGATCAAGAACTCCATCTGGTAAGGGGCCGCGGGGCGCCGGGCGGCCGCTCGTTGGGGACTCGGGCCGGGGCTGGGGTCGGGGCCGGGGCCGGGGCCGAGGCCGGGGCGGGGGGCGCGGCACCCGCCCTCGCGCGGCGCCGCCCGCGCCCCCCTCCCCAATTGCGTGCAGCCCTGCCTGCTCGGCCCGGAGCGCCGATGCACGAGCATGCACGGACGCGCGTGCGCGCGCGTGTGTCGATGTGTCTGGGCGCGCGCGCGTGTGTGTGTATGTGTGTGTGTGTGTGTGTGTGTGTGTGTCTACGCGCGTGCGTGCGTGTGTGTGTGCGCGCGCACGCCCGCCCGCGTGCAGCCCTCTTCGGTTCAGAATGCAGATGCACGAGCGTGTGTGTGCGTGTGTGTGTGTGTGTGGGGGGGGGGGGGTATGCGCACGCGCGTGTGTGTCACGTCGGTGTGCAAGGGTGTGCAAGGGCTCTGGGGCGAAATCCACTGCGGATGCGTGTTCGTGGCGTGCATTGAGGACTGGGGGCAATGGGCGATGGGTTCACCCTCCTTTTGCAGTCAAACGGGGAGAAGTGTATTGTGAATTTCACCAGCCTGTGCGTACGACTATTAATATGCAGCAGAAAACCTAATGGGTGTTCTCTGCTTTTCGTGCAGTTTTTTTTATTGTTATTTTTTTTGTGGGGGGAGGGGGCAGTCTGGTTATCTCTATTCGAGATTTCCTTTCCTCTTCCCAGGAGACTTATTCTTTGCATCGGTAGTGAAGAAGGACCCCCCCCCCTTTTTTTTTGCTTTAGTGTATTTTATTAGTGATATTTTATTTTAATGGGGCATTTTACATGGGTAGATGATTTTTTTAACCCTTTCATTTAAAAAAGATGACTTCTTTGATTTTAAATGCTTGGCCATTTTGTGTGTCTTCTTAAAATTTTTTTTAAGACACCATAGATCTCTGCTGTTTCTGTACTTGCGAGAATTTTCAGTATTTTTGCAGCAGATTAAACTCTGAAAGATTGGTGGCAGTCTTTTAATAATTAAATACACTGGGCTAAGTCTCTCCCCTGTTCCAGCCATTGCAAAGATTCTTTGAACATGAACTTGCACTATATTTTTGTAAGATACTTCATTAACTGACGTCTATTTTAAAGTGTAATGCTATTTTTAAAAGAGAAAGCAATATTTGGAACTGGCAAGTTCAAAAAATGATCTTGTGTTTTAAAAAGCTCTAATAAATTAAAAAATGAAATCATGCTGTTCCATTATTGAAGATTACTACTAAAATACCCACACTTTTTATATTGCAGTTAAAAATAAAAGTATTTCAAGGCAGCTAGCATTGCAGTACAATACTGACACCCTTAAAAATCGGTGGTGTTTAAGATCAAAATTACAGTTGTTTGATGGCAATTTTTATTATTTACTTGGCACACTTCCATTTTGTCCTGATGGTAATGTGAAGTAGGTCAGTGCAGGCTTTAGTAGCTCCATGCTACACAGTTCTTGGCAGTTAGCTGTCTTGCTTTCAGTTTTAATTTTTAAATGAAGTTTTAGTGTTTTAAGAGAGGTTTTTTGGGCCTTGATAGTTACATTGTGGTTTGGGGATGAGAGAGGTTTATTCTTGAAATAAAGTCTCCTAAGCCCCCTGAAACTAAAGGAAGAAGTGGTTAGTTTCTTGCTTACCATCAAGAAACTAATGATAGAAACCAGAGAGGGATTTTTTTTTCCCCCTCTATTAACTTGATGTGTGTAACTTAGTGTCTCTGAAATTATTAAGTTGAATGAAGCTTGTCCTTTTACATTATAGCCAAGGGATGTTCAAGTTTAAAAAATAAAATCTTTCCAAAAAGCCAGTTTTTAAAAATTGAATCAGCAGTGTATATTTTACTCACTGTGATATCAATGGAGAAAGGAAATGTCATATTTTAGAAAGAATAAATGTATAAGCAACTGAGGGATTGACTAAGCCGAGAACAGAGTGCTCTTTTGAGTAAAACACGTGATTTAATTTTTCTTTTATGGTAATATTTACACATCGATTCCAACTGAACTTTGCTGACTTTCATTTGTAGAACCTACCCTGAAGTAGAGCGTATTTATTTCTGTTGTAGTGACATACTGACTCATGTTCTATTTTCAGTGGTTGAAATCTTCCTTGCAAAAAGGATCTTTAACTAATCTTTGAAACTTTAGAATAAATATTAGCGAATAACAAACATTAGTGTAGATATTCAATATGTATCTTCCCCCACTAGATCCAGTTTGTGTCATTTATCACGATGCTGTGTAAAACAAGGATATTGAAAAGTGAAAGTTCCCTTACACCCTCTTCTCTAGAGAAATTGTATGCCTATATGAAATTACAATTTGAACAGGTAAGATTGCAGTCCTTTAATAATCTCATTCCACATATTTTGAGGCAATAGTATCTTTTTTACCAATTATATTATCTGATGATTAATTAATTACCTAATATGCTCTGAGAAATGATCGGTTTTGTACCGTTTCCCATATCAACTTTTGGTTTTATTAGTAACAAGAATTCTAGATTACCTTACACAGAAATGTTGCATTTAAAAATCAAATAATTTTTGCATTTAGCTTCATCATAGTTTCTCATCATAGTTCCATAGTTACTGGAACTTGTAGATCATAAACAAGTCTGTACTTGTCCTATTCTACAAATATAAATATAGTGTGTGATGTAGGACTTCACTTGGACAGTGATTTATTATCCCAGTTTGTAATTTATTAAATCATAAATTCTGTTTGATACAAACATGTCCATTGTAATTTCAATTGTTAGATACGTCTTTGAGAAAAAGGTTAGTCAGAGTTGAAATAAAAGAACTTAATGAGATAAGGATTAGTTTAGCTTTCTTTTTTGGGGGCTTGTTCCACACCCAGTGATATTCAGAGCTTCGTCCTGGCTCTGCACTCTGCAGATACTACAGGTAGTGCTCGTGGGACCGTCGAGAAGCTGGGATTGAACCCGGGTGGTCCACATGAAAGGCAAGCACTGTACTCATTGTACTATCGTCTGGCCTCAGGAACTAGCTTTCTTACGAATTGGAAATATAATGTGTTTTTAAGGCAGTTGCAGGGAATAAAGGTACTGCTAATTTGATAGCTTTGTAGTATTTTCCTAATGTGTTGATGAATATCTTCATACTAAATCCAAGGTAGCGAGTTATGCAACTGTCCTTTTTTTCTTTTTTAATTTTTATTAGTGAGACACCATGAGGTACAGTTGTAGACTTAAATTTTTGTGCTTGGGTTTCAATTGTACAATGATCAAATACCCATCCCTCCACAGGTGCCCATTCTCCACCACCACTGATCCCAGTATCCCTCCCACCCCCCATCCCCCCATCCCCCCTATCCCACCCTGCCTCTGTGGCAGGGCATTCCCTTTTGTTCTCTCTCTCCTATTGGGTGTTGTGGTTTGCAAAAGAGGCAATGGGTGGCAATCATCTTTGGTCTATAGTCTACTTTCAGCATATGCAACTGTCTTGACCTTCTTCACTTCATTCCTATTAAATGGACATTGGTCGCAAATAATGGCATAAGGAGATTTATATGCATAGGTCTGTTTAAGTACTGAAAATGCTATAACAGTGTTACTTATGTTTTAGAAATAATAGGATTTTTATATGAACACTTCACTAGAAAAAGAAAACTAGTAACTCATGTCCTTTTTGAAATGAAGATTACTGATAACCAACAAGAAAATTACTATCTAAAGTTTCTTCCAGGTTCTTTGACGTACATGACTTATTTTTAGTTATCCTCAAAAAATATATATATATTAAAACAAGTTTTACCTTTTTCTTATCTCCCTGTAACTACCTTTGTTTTTAAGGAAACTTGTAATTAATTCAGACCAAAACTTCCCTTTTTGAGGTTTTTTTTTTTTTTATTATTAGTGAAACACCATGAGGTACAGTTGTAGATTTACAATTTTTTGTGCTTGGGTTTTGATTATACAATGATCAAATACCCATCCCTCCACCAGTGCCCATTTTTTACCACCGTGGATAATATTCCCCCCACCCCCATTCCCCCCATCCCACCCTGCCTCTGTGGCAGGGCAATCCTTTGTGTTCTCTCCCTCCTTTTGTTTGGGTTTTTTTTGGGGGGGGCACATCCAGTGATATTCAGGGGTTACTCCTGGCTCTGAGCTCAAGGGACCATATAAGATTCCTGGGATTGAACCTGGGTTGGCCTAGTGCAGGGCTGCTTGTACTACCCGCTGGACTCCACTCCAGCCCCCCCCCCCCAATTTCTTTTCTTTTCTTCTCCTTTTTTTGGGGGGGGGGTGGTCATACCCAGCAGGACTTACTCCTGGCTCTGTGCTCTGGAATTACTCCTGGCAGGTCTGGGAATGGGGGTGGGGAAGACTGTAAGGGATGCCAGGGATAGAACTTGGGTTGACTGCCTGCAGGGTAAGCGCCTTCATCGTTCTTATCTTTCCATCTCTTTTATTTTATTTTGTTTAGCACTATACCTGGCAGTGCTCAGGAGTTACTCCTGGCTCCGTGCTCAGGGCTTATTCCTGGCTCTTGTGCTCAGAGATCACTCTTGGTGGGGAACAGGTGACCTATGTGTTGATGGAGCTAAAAACTCAGGTTGACTGTGTGCAAAGCAAGCACCCTAACTGACTGTACTGTTGCCCCGGTCCCGCTTTTCTTTCTGTTTTTAAAGCAGTTTTATTTGAAAACTGTTGGGATGAAACTAATGGAAAAAAACAGGATAGAATTTCATTTATGATCTGTTCTGCTTGCTTGTGGCTATTTTGTTTTAAGAATAAGCACACTGGGGCTGGAGCAATAGCACAGCAGGTAGGGCATTTGCCTTGCACAAGGCTGACCCGGTTCGATTCCCAGCATTTCATATGGTCCCCTGAGCACCAACAGGAGTAATTCCTGAGTGCAAAGCCAGGAGTAACCCCTGGGCATCACCGGGTGTAGCCCCCCGCCCCCCGGAAAAAAAATAAGCACTTTGTGGCCTCAGGTAGAACT